CTCAGTTACATTCCCTCTCGCCCCCAACCTTATACCAAGTTCCCCCTCCCCAACCCCACAATTTGTTTCTTTAGCAAGAACCCTTTTGCTGTTTGTCAGGCTTTGTCTACACTGGAACTTTGTCGGCAAAACTTTTGTCCTCAGGAGTGTTTAAAACTTTTGTCCTTCGGGGGGGTGTTTTTTTCTGACGAAAAGCACTTTGTCGGCAGGAGCGCTCTCCTGCTGACAAAGCTGCCACCGCTTGTTGAGGGTGGAAGTTTTTTGTCGGCGGGAGAGCTCTCTCCCGCTGACAAACAGCGACTACACTGCGTGCCTTTTAGCGGCACGGCTGTGTTGCTAAAAAGTGTGTAGCGTAGACACAGGTTCTCTCTCAAACTCTCAACAACAGAAGCATAAATACGTTCTAAATCTTTTCTGTTTTTAAAAAAGCCGTATGAAATTGCTGTTCTTTTGCACTAACTATTCTCATCTCCCCCTCCACTACCCCAACTATATATAATTATATTAATTACTCTGGTTATTTTGTGTTTTTTTTTTTAAAGTAAAATGCAAAGAACTGTGACAAAGACTGACAAATACCTAGTCACAGATCCCAGCTGCCACCAGAAAAAGCGTGTTACCTCATGCATTTAGGGTTCTCCTTAGAGACACGGGGCTAGATTTTCAAAAGAGCTAACAGTTCCCATTGTGGCATTTAAATAAGTTGCCAGGTTTTCAAGAGGGATCAGCTCCCATGTCAGCACCTGAATCACATGGCTAAACTTCTCAACTCCTAGCAGCTTCCATTGTTTTCCAAAGGGCCTGTGTATAAAGATAGAGCTAGACAAGAAGTTACTGCTGACTCAGCATTTCTAGAGCACTTAGCACTAGAGACAGGACAGGGTAGGGCTGATTCTGTTTACACTTACACTGGTGTAAGTCAGAAGTGGCTTCTTTGAAGTGAATAATGCTACGTTAGTGTTAAACTGGTGTAAGTGGAGGAGAATTGAGCCATATTGTACCTACTGTATACCGTCAGGCACTACTAAAGGATCCAAAAGTCCTTCAAAGACATTGAATGATCATTTCTGTGATACCAATCCCAGCATTTCGTTATGTTTTCCTTGCATGCAACACATTTCTTTTCATTACAACAAATATCTTGGCCACAACCACAAACCGTGTTGCAGAACGCAGGCTGTGGTGAAAATCTGTTGGGCCAGGTATTCAGCTGGTATAAATTGGTATCATTCATGGAGCAATGCCAATTTACAGCAGGTGAGGCTCTGAATCATTACTTTTTCCTCCACTTTTCCAATAATCAAAGTGGTAAGAAACCCTGAAACCTGTTTGAGCATTGCATTTAACTTTAATTTTTGTGGTGTGCATTGTTTGACGCATACGTTTCTCATCCTGCCTCTCAATTTTAAGAGCACGCACAGTGTATGAATGCTGAAAACAGAGGTGTTTGCTAACAGCTACTCACCAAATTAAGGACATCTCCCAGGGCAATGCTTAGCCGTAGCCTAGTGTTTGCAAGCAGGAATACCCTACTTTATATAAACCCTTAAGCCATTGTTGTCTTTGCTTGAGCAAGCCATGTTTCTGAAGGGTGAACTTTTGTTACAAGGCAATTTACACATCTCACAGCCATCCCTTACTAAATACACTTAAACTACATTCCATTGACAAAACATCCTGTTTAGAAGATGAGTCTTTTATCCACTACCTCTTGGCTAATTTATTTTTGCTCAGAGATACAGGAATGCAATGGCAAAGCCAGGATTTGAAGGAGGAGAAAAGGATGTAGGATTGGGAGTCATGAGCTTCTGGACAAACTCTTAAATAACCACAACAAAATCCTGTAGTTTTAAGACCTGCAGATTAACTAGACCTCCCAGCTCTGAGACACTGCGTGTAGCAGTTATTCACAGGGAAATGCCCATAATGACAAGGTAACAAAAACAAGTACACATGTTACTTTGTTCCCAATGAATTAACAACCTGGAAATCTGTTGTCCTTTTAATTCTTTAGCTGTACCAGAAACATGGATGATTGTTACCACGCTGAGGAACAGAAATCTAAATATTCCTCTCCCCTCTCTGGATCTTGGTTCTCATTCATGTCTTAATAGCGCAAGTACTGATGATGTGTTAGGGAAGGGTAATATTACCACCACTGAATCGTAGGTGGTACAACTATACAAGCAGTAGCATTTTGGTACAGTATGTCTTCAATATCTTCCAAGTCCCTTCTTGTCCCATCATCCCCATGGCCAATGCAATCTTTTCCTGTGTCATTTCAAGTCCATCTGACCTCAGTTGTTAGCACTTCAGGACAGGGACTCTGGTCAAAACTATCAAGGTTGGGTCCGTATTACAATTTAGAGTCCTAAACAAGGGCTGGCTCCTGCAAGATGCTGAGGGCTCCTGGGAGGTGGGGAGTCAATGGGAGAAGGATATTCAGTATCCTGAGAAAGTGAGCCTTCAAAATGGCCTGATTTTCAGAGAAAATGAGCACTCCAAAATCTCTCTGAAATCCATGTGAGCTGTGGGAGCTCAACACCTTTGAAAATCAGGTCACCTTTATTTAGGTGCCCAAATATGGACAAGCTGCCTAAATTCAAGCACCAGCTTAGAAAATTTCGGCCCACGTCTTTTCTGTTTTGCCTCAAAAACAACAAACCTCTATGACACAGCATACATAAGAGCTGTGTGTCTGTGTCTGTGTGAGAGAGAGAGACTAAAACTCCCCCCTCACCCCTTCTTCTAGCTCTTCGGTTATGAATAAACAGGAAAAAAAAATTGGTAGAATTAGGGCCTGATCCAAAGCCAACTGACGTCAATGAGAGTCCTTCCACTGACTTCCTTGGGCTTTGCATCAGGCACTAATTGCCGTTCTACTGAAAACATTCCTAATAGATGTATGTTAATATGTGGTGAAAACTATACAGTCCATGCTTATAACACATGAGAGAAGAGACACAAACAGTAATAATACAGTCAAATCAAGCAATGATCATAGAATATCAGGGTTGGAAGGGACCTCAGGAGGTCATCTAGTCCAATCCCCTGCGCAAAGCAGGACCACTCCCCAACTAAATCAATGATGGGAAAACAGGTAAGCACATCCAAGTGTGAACACCACCATTGAAAAGAAAATGGTTTCTGACACAGCATAGAAGTAGTATGGTTTGGTAAAATATGTCTGAGCAAGTTACAAATGTGAACAGATGGAAGTGCCTTAAGTGCTGGTAAGCCTTTGTCCCAAGCGCTGTTATATGGCTGGTCTTTAATCTCTCTCTGATAAGTGAAGGAAAGAGAAGAAATGAAAAGACCACATCCATTTTGATACACAGGTTAGCTAGAGACTAACCTCGTCTGTGAGAGTGTCAAAAGCAGCACAAAGATTAAAGGACTTTTCAAGAGATTTTGTCTTCTCCAGACCTTTGCAGATTTAGCTGGCGAAGGGAAGTGGAGAGAAATGTTAGCAAGGTAATTTATTGAGGCTGAATTCCGACATGAAGGGAGAACGTGATCAAAGCCATGCTGGCAAGATGGATGGGGCACAAGAGCTGGGACTTCAAACAATTCCGTTAAATGAGCTTGAGTATAAGAAAATCTCCATGTGAAATATTTCAATTATGAAACGCACTAACACAAAAGGAGCTTTCGTTAACTCACCCACAACCAGGTTAGAATACTCCTCCGTGATAGAAAAATAAAGAGAGTGGGTGGAGTTATTTATTGCAGATAAGTTACTTTACAAGTTTAGCCCTTTTTTTGGTTTGCAAAGTGTTTGCCAACTGATCCTGGCTTCTAACAAAGTACTAATTTCTTACAAGTATTTCCTGGATAGTTTATGCAAACAACAATTTGCTATTCATTATCTGTCGTGTGCAAATTGTCACTTAAGGCATATGGTGTTGTTTCTGCTGACTTGAGAAAGACAAGATGGGTGAGGTAATCTCTTTTATTGGACCAACTTCTGGTGGTGAGAGAAGCAAGCTTTCAAGGTGACACAGAGCTCTTCTCCAGGTCAGAGGACTTAAGACTTTTAAAGAGGAAAACAATAAAAATCAGATTACAAATAAAGCCCTTTCCAATATGAACTTTCAGACAAAATCATTCATGTGAACATTTGTGAAACTGTTTGGATTTGTGAACATCTCTGTGAAAAAAGTGGTGATCATCCAAATTAGCAACCAACCAAAATAACTCCAGCAGCGTGGATTCATCATGTTGATGCACGAAAGTATTTAGAAATCCCTTTCTGCACTATTTAACAAGCTCGATCTATATATTATTTTAAAAATAAATCCCACACTTAACCACTAGCAGCAATGCAAAAACCAACGTCCCTACCACTAATTCATAAAACATACACTTATTTTTCCTGCGAAGATGGACTGGCAGACACTCCACTCTGGATTTATGGCATGAAGCTCTCCCTGCTGCATTGTCTCATGAAAAGGAACAGAATCCACTTCAACAGGTATTCATGAGGCAAGACGTACTCTGTGGGGCAGATCCTCGGATGCTGTCAGTTGTCATAGCTTTACTGACTTCAGCAGATCTATGACAATTTAAGCCATCTGAGAATCTGTCCCCATAGGACGCAACCTGAAATCTACACGATAGGACACCTCACCTGCAAACGCATGTCTCGTTTTTGCCACTATCATTTACAACAACCACACAGACACCTGAAAACAAAAGTGTCTTTGCTTATTTCCATTTTCCAAACATGTCCCTCACCTTCCTAGTGTTTCTAATACAACAGACGGCAACCTGATTCCACTTTCTTTACTTGTTTTTATTTCATCACCACCATAGGGAGGCCACGGGAATGTTCACACTGGCTATATACAGTGTTTGTTAGTTGGAGATGCAGTTTTCATAGCTATTCAGAGGATACACATTCCAGGAGGATTAATGATGTACAGAAGGAGAAGGTACATCATTAGTTTCAGAAGCAAGCATTTGGTACCAATAAATCATCGTCAGCGGAAGTAGCCTACCTTATGCCATATTATTCCTTGTGGTTTTGGTCGTTTGCAGCCTGTTTTAATGGTTCTTGTTGGAGTGAGGATGTAATCCACAGTTAAATCATGGTCATCAAGCAGCTCTTCTGCAATGTCAACCACCTACAACCAGAGGGAAGAGAAATTTGGTAAGTAATTAAAACAACCCCACCAGAACTGTGACTTCGCATGGAAAGTTTCATTCCAGACAGCTTCCCAGATACCAAAAATCTCTCACTTAAGATGACAAGATAAGCAGATTACACTGAAACAACCCCAGATCTAGACACAAGTCAGTCCTGCTCTGCAACTACTTAACTGTTACAACTGGAACTGAGTGACTACTTGATTTTTTTTCAGTTCAGGGGCTGAACTGAAAAATTTGTTTGGGGTTGATCCAAAGCTTACATTTTTGGGGATTTCCTCGCTGAAATAAGAAACTGAAAAAAATATTGTTTCATTCGAACTGAAATAGTATTTTTGTTTTGGTTTATTGCTTTGTTTTGGGGTGCCTTTTACCTTATTTTAATTTTCTAAAGGCATCAAGCTAGATTTCTGAAACAAAATGTTGGTTTGAAATGAAAAGTTGAAATGTCTCCTTCTGAAAAGGTCGAAACGAAGCGTTTTGACTTTGACTCCTCCCTCCCCCACCCACTGCTTCATTTTTTATTCAGACGAATTTCACCTCAATTTCCAAATAGTTTCACTCATCCTGAAACGGCATTTTGGGGCAAATAATTTGTCCCAAAAATTCCATCCAGTTCTAATCTCAGCTGCTCAATACACGCCTATAATGCAAGGTACTGAATGGTTGTAGATGTGCCTTCAGAGGTTCTTCAGCTCACCTGGCAGTCATGCACGATAGTAACTACTGGGGTGTCCTCTCTGATGGCTCCCATTGACATCATCATTGCATATTCCATATCTGCAAAACCTTCCCCTTTCCCAATTCTCCAACCTAAAATGTACCAATAAAAAGCGAGCTAGTTAATTAACACTGGAGGGCAACAGAGTGCAAGAGATGGCAATAATTAAGCAGAATGCTTGTAAGAAGGCAACAGACGTCTGGCACATGAACCGATTCTGAGAGCCCGTCTGCACCAGGCTGGATTCAGGAGTCGGTACCGGTTAAGCCAAGTCTGAAGAAGACAGCTTAGGCTTCAGAAAGAGAGGACTGTCTTTTTTTTGCAAGTGAATGTAATGCTGATGAAAGGTCTTGCACGGACAGCTGCCATACCGAGGTCACCCCCCAAATAGGTGGAGAATGGGAAGCTGCAGTGCAAGACCTTTATGCTGCTCCCCTCACCCAACAAGCCTCTGCTTTGTCCTGGAGGAACCATCTCTACAGGCAGAGAAGATCCGCCCTCATGACCGTTCAACTGAAAACACAATGCACCCAGAAGAACCCTGTTGAAGATGCACTGTGCACATACAACACATTGGCTGGTGTAACTCCACTATTAAACTCCCAGCAGAGGGAACAAATAGTGATGGCATCTTTGTAATGTAGACACCAGCCTTCAGAAACTGGAGTGAGACTACTAACGCTTCACATGGAAAGGGATTACCCTTAAATATAAGACAGAGAAATTGATATCTTGCTATCCCCCAAAACCTCCCCAACTCTAACATGTCTAACAACCTTTACCCCTACCTTTTTCAGAAACAGCGACCGATCCTACAACAACCAGGTCCACTTGGACTTTTGCGTCCAGACCTATAGGCACACTGTAATCCTTTACCCCCTAAGAAGAAAAACATGATTTTAAGGATGTTTCACTTCCAATTCAGTAAAACATCATCATCATTAAAAATAATCAAGTCTCTTTGCTCAAACCAAATAAATAACCAAGCTCTGAAATGTCCCTTCCCATACACAGCCAATTATCAGAAGTCTGGGAAGTTATTCTCCAAGCATCCAGCGAGTTAGAATTCTGCAATATATTTTCTGCTAAAATGTTGACACTTTTGGCATATTTCAATAGAAGCTGGGGCTTTTCAGCACTTCTGAAAACCAAGCTAGTTATTGAGCAGCCTAAATTTGTATTTGAAACCTAACATCAGGCTCCTATTTTTTGAAAATCTTGGCAAATGGCACGTAAGAGTAATGCATCGCTCCAGTCACAGAAGGATCACAAAGTGCGTTAAAAATTGTTAACAAATTAATCCTCACAATACATCTGTGAAATAGGGAAGTGTTAACTTTGGCTTACAAATGGGACAGCTGAAGTTTAGAGACTTCCTCGGGGGGAGGGATAGCTCAGTGGTTTGAGCATTGGCCTGCTAAACCCAGGGTTGTGAGTTCAATCCTTGAGGGGGCCACTTAGGGATATGGGGCAAAATCAGTACTTGGTCCTGCTAGTGAAGGCAGGGGGCTGGACTCGATGACCTTCAAGGTCCCTTCCAGTTCTAGGAGATAGGATATCTCCATTAATTTTATTTATTTATTTATTACAGGCTTGTCTACATGGGGATTTATTCCTGATTAATTGTGTGTGCCGATGTAGAAGTGGCTTTAACTAAGGTGGAATAATGCAGTCTTATTTGGAATAAGGATGTCCACACACATAGGGCATGTCTACACTACAGCGGCACAATTATGGTGCTGCAGCTATGCTCTGGCACCATAGCATGGACACTTCCTCTGTGGACAGAAGGAAGTTTTCAGTCAACGTAGTTAATCCATCAGTAGCTAGGTCAACAGAACAATTCTTCCGCCGTCGGGGATTAGGTCCACATAACTACAGCTCTCAGGATTGAAACTGTTCACAGCCCTGAATGACAAAGCCAGGTCAATCTAATTTTAAAGTGTAGAGTAGGCCAGAGTTAATCAGGAATAGATAATTTGCTATCAATTCACACATTACCTTATTCTGGATTAACTTTTATGTGTAGACAAACTCTAAACTATTTTTCCCAGGTCATACAAGAAGCCTGTCTGTAGCAGAGCCAAGAATAGAATCTGGATCACCTGGCTACCTGTCTTATGCATTAGCCACTACACAGACTGTCTCTACACACCAGTTATCCCTCAATGCATGCTCCAGTATGACCCACATATTCTCCTGAACTTTCCTTCCTTGTCACATTTTGATATCTATGAGTCAACAGTGTGCCCTTGTTTCCAAAAAGGCTAACGGCATTTTGGGCTGTATAAGTAGGGGCATTGCCAGCAGATGGAGGGACGTGATCATTCCCCTCTATTCGACATTGGTGAGGCCTCATCTGGAGTATTGTGTCCAGTTTTGGGCCCCACACTACAAGAAGGATGTGGAAAATTTGGAAAGAATCCAGCGGAGGGCAACAAAAATGATTAGGGGTCTGAAGCACATGACTTATGAGGAGCGCCTGAGGGAACTGGGATTGTTTAGTCTGCAGGAGAAAAGAATGAGGGGGGATTCGACAGCTTCTTTCAACTACCTGAAAGGGGGTTCCAAAGAGGATGGATCTAGACTGTTCTCAGTGGCACCAGATGACAGAACAAGGAGTAATGGTCTCAAGTTGCAGTGGCGGAGGTTTAGGATGGATATTAGGAAAAACTTTTTCACTAGGAGGGTGGTGAAGCACTGGAATGGGTTACCTAGGGAGGTGGTGGAATCTCCTTCCTTAGAGGTTTTTAAGGTCACGCTTGACGAAGCCTTGGCTGGGATGATTTAGTTGGGGATTGGTCCTGCTTTAAGCAGGGGGTTGGACTAGATGACCTCCTGGGGTCCCTTCCAACCCTGGTATTCTATGATCTCTGATGTAATGATGTCAAGCTGAGATACCTGAAGCAAGCCCTTCTACTTCAGAGCCTAGGGTATGGAGGTACGTGTCACTGCCAAATGTAATGAACAGTTTTTTCTCCCCCTCTCCTCTCTACAGCATTTGTTCAAGACAGATTTCTGGAGCTGTAGATACTCAGCACCTCTGAAAATCAGATCCAATGTGTCTCAACCTGGACACCCAAAAATGGGAGGCACTCAAAATGGGAGGGTTTCACTTCTTTAGTTTTGCCTTTGTTAGATATTTTTACTTTGAGATTAACTCAAGGTAATTCACATGTTTGTAAAGGATAAGGCAGACACTTGTCACACATCTGATCCAGGTGAGAAACCTTTGTTCTTTATGTTAGGTTGACACCCACAATAAAAAACAAATGTTTAAAGCCTAGAATAAAATAAGGCCAGTGAAGAACAACTCTTGGCTGAGTTTCTCCATCTGTAAAATGGAGAGAATAATATTTACTTGCCTATCTCCCAGAGGTGTGCTGAGGATTGTTTGTATTGTATTCTGTGAATGCAAGGTGCATGAGACGCATTACGACTTTATTCACTAGCAGAGGGGTCGGCAACGTTTGGCATGCGGCTCGCCAGGGTAAGCACCCTAGCGGGCCGGGCCAGTTTATTTACCTGCTGACGTGACAGGTTCGGCCCATTGCGGCCCCCCACTCGCCGCGGTTCGCCGTTCCAGGCCAATGGGGGCGGCGGGAAGCAGCGCGGGCGAGGGATGTGCTGGCTGCGGCTTCCCGCCGCCCCCATTGGCCGGGGACGGCGAACCGCGGCCAGTGGGGGCCGCGATCGGCCGAACCTGCTGCGTCAGCAGGTAAATAAACTGGCCCGGCCCGCTAGGGTGCTTACCCTGGCGAGCCGCGTGCCAAACGTTGCCGACCCCTGCACTAGCACCTGTCTGCCTGAAAAATAGCACTGACGTGATAGAAAGGTCATAGGTCAGATATGAGACTGGGCAGCAGGTCAAGAGAAAGTAATCTTTTGAATGACGTATAGTACAACTTCCAACTCTTACCACTTTTAATAAAATAACAGTCTTAAGAGAACTCTTAACAGAGACGCTCACTTTAGAGTTTCACACATTTTCAGTCCCCCAATTATATGTAGGAGTCTGTGTTTGGATTGATGTCTTAAAATGTAAAAAATTTAAAATTATTGGCCAATTAATTGAAAAATGCTATATTTTTGTTTTAAATTCTAGAAATAGGTAAAATAATACAGGATTCTGTAGCATACTCACTCAGCTATGGAATATGACATTTGTACACTAGGGGGCAGCAAAGCACCACTTTACTGTTTACAACAAAAAAAGATCCACTCAGAATTGTTTTTTTTCCCCACACATCAACTGAGTGACAGAAATTAGTTAATTTGGATGCTTTTTGTTCATTTCCTTAAGAGTCAAAAGGATAAAAGATCTGCCCTTAACCTCGCCCTCCCTCCCCCCAAAAAAGTATGAACCACCATAAACATTTTATTACCCAGATTAAGCAACCAGTTTTAAACATTAAATACTCTCCCCTCTAGGTTTTCTAAGCACAAAAGTTCAACTGTGCAAGAGAAGGCAGAAACACTATGTCAGACTCTGAGGTTTTTAAGTGTGTAAATACAGCCTCTGAAACTTTCTTGCGGTGATCCAGGTAAATAAAGCCATTGAGAATGAATATTTCTGCACTGAAAATCCAAAACAACAAAGAGCAAAGCGATGGTGCATCTCTAAATAGTTGTATGGTTCAGATGAATATGCAAAAAGTTGATGCTTATCCACACTTTTTGGGGAGGCAAAGCAAGGGCCGAAATCCTGTGAGCACCAGCTATCTGGTAACAGGCCTGAAACGTCCTGCTTCTGGTTAGGCTGGCATTACCGTGAGTATAGTCTTCTGTGTGTTAGTCCCAGGCCCAAACAGGGAGTGGAGGAGTGCATGAAAGTGAAAAATAACAAGGATAAAAACGTTCACTATACTTTTCTGAATCTCAACAATACATTTTGGTTCGCCTTTTCTCTTATTTGTGCTATGGTTGTGTCTGGAGATTGGGGCCCAACTGCGCTCATTCCACATTCATCTAGCAAGAGCTAGCCCATCGCTGAGCAATTTACAATCTAAAGACACAAGACAGAAATGAAATAGTATCATCTCTGTTCTTACAGAGCGGGAGCAGAGGCACGCAAAGATGAAATGGTTTGTCCAAGGCTACACAGTGAAGATCTCCCTAGCCTCAGTCCAGAATCATAACTGTAAGGCCACTGCTCTGCTCTTTTGACATAGTTCCCCCCACTTCTGATACCTACTTGAGAGGTTGCACATATTCTCAGGATCTCTTTAGTTGCTCCTGGTGGTGGGACAATCTTATTAAACAGCCCAGTTCTCAGTCGCGGTGTTGGAACCAACAAAGTTTTCCTTGCCTGTGATAACAGAAACCATCAACAGTTACACGCCAGAATTAGGGGAGAGGCTTATTTTTCTTTAAATTTATAGAAAAAAAAATCCTTTACTGCCATATGTTTGAGCACAAAGACCAATGCTCCTCCGGGCAA